CTCCCTCTCTCTCCCCCACCACCTTCCCCTCTCTCTCTCCCCCACCACCTTCCCCTCTCTCCCCCCACCACCCCCCCTCTCTCTCCCCCACCACCTTCCTTCCTCTCCCCCACCACCTTCCCCTCTCTCTCCCCCACCACCTTCCCCTCTCTCTCTCCCCCACCACCTTCCCCTCTCTCCCCCACCACCTTCCCCTCTCTCTCCCACCACCTTCCCTCTCTCTCCCCCACCACCTTCCTTTCTCTCCCCCACCACCTTCCCCTCTCTCTCCCCCACCACCTTCCCCTCTCTCTCTCCCCCACCACCTTCCCCTCTCTCCCCCACCACCTTCCCTACTCTCTTCCACCACCTTCCCCTCTCTCTCCCCCACCACCTTCCTTTCTCTCCCCCACCACCTTCCCCCTCTCTCTCTCCCCCACCACCTTCCCCTCTCTCCCCCACCACCTTCCCCTCTCTCTCCCACCACCTTCCCCTCTCTCTCCCCCACCACCTTCCTTTCTCTCCCCCACCACCTTCCCCTCTCTCTCTCCCCCACCACCTCCCCCTCTCTCCCCCACCACCTTCCCCTCTCTCCCCCACCACCTTCCCCTCTCTCTCCCACCACCTTCCCCTCTCTCTCTCCCCCACCACCTTCCTTTCTCTCCCCCACCACCTTCCCCTCTCTCTCCCCCACCACCTTCCCCTCTCTCTCCCCCACCACCTTCCTTTCTCTCCCCCACCACCTTCCCCTCTCTCTCTCCCCCACCACCTTCCCCTCTCTCCCCCACCACCTTCCCCTCTCTCTCCCACCACCTTCCCCTCTCTCTCCCCCACCACCTTCCTTTCTCTCCCCCACCACCTTCCCCTCTCTCCCCCACCACCTCCCCCTCTCTCCCCCACCACCTCCCCCTCTCTCCCCCACCACCTCCCCCTCTCTCCCCCACCATACACTACAAGCAGAACAATGCACCTTGCCAGGTGTTCTCCACCTGTAGTTACCATTCATAACCACCTGTTCTAACTGCCAGTAATTAGTGTCAGGTAAGGTGCGATTCTTAGGCGTCCGCTCTCCAGTCAAAGTGAAATTCCCACCAGTTCCTCCATCTATCATCATTCTATTATGCAGGAAGAGCCGCACGTCTATGGGTCATCCAATAATGTTAGCAGACGTCTAGATGTTACCACTGCTAGGCTTTGGCTCGGCTACAAGTACCTCTGGCAGTTTGTAACATCTGCTGATGTAGACTTGACAAAATGTAAACTCTGTCAGCAGAACTATTCGCATACTTTGCGGCATTATATAATGGAATGTGAAAAAATCGCGGAATTTAGAGATAACACCATCAATAGTGTCCAAGAAATGTGTAAGTTCTTCATTCATAATGATGTGCTGCACATGACTGTAAAGCTGCCGCCCAGTTGGGTGGGTGTGGAGCACATGACTGTAAAGCTGCCGCCCAGTTGGGTGGGTGTGGAGCACATGACTGTAAAGCTGCCGCCCAGTTGGGTGGGTGTGGAGCACATGACTGTAAAGCTGCCGCCCAGTTGGGTGGGTGTGGAGCACATGACTGTAAAGCTGCCGCCCAATTGGGTGGGTGTGGAGCACATGACTGTAAAGCTGCCGCCCAGTTGGGTGGGTGTGGAGCACATGACTGTAAAGCTGCCGCCCAGTTGGGTGGGTGTGGAGCACATGACTGTAAAGCTGCCGCCCAGTTGGGTGGGTGTGGAGCACATGACTGTAAAGCTGCCGCCCAGTTGGGTGGGTGTGGAGCACATGACTGTAAAGCTGCCGCCCAGTTGGGTGGGTGTGGAGCAAGACTAGTAACTGTGTGACTCACCATACATGTAAAGTACCTTGTATAGTGACTGTTGTGAACGTCTTGTTCATCACTTGCGACACAAAATATTATTGATGTGTGTATTTGTGTGGGTGATTAAATATGTATGTGAATGTATATATGTATACTTATGTATATGTACATGTATGCATGAGAATGTGTACATGTATATATAACATTAATAATTTTGTAACTAGCGTCAAAAGATTGTTATTGGCTTAGCTAAACGAACTAGAGGGTTTAGTTCCTGAACCAATTATGTGCCTCTGTAATCCTTTACACCACCGCCCACGGGATGGGTATGGGGTGCATAATAAAGAAAGAAATTAAATTCTCTCCACGAACGAAGGTGTTATCAGGTCAACATCTTTGTTATCATCCAGGATAACAATAATGTTATCTCTGATGGTTAACTTCTTAGTGCCCATCAGAACGTATTAATGTTCTTGAGAACTGATTAGTGTTCTTTTGAAGTTATCAGTGTTCTTGATAACATACTAACGTCCTTAATATTTTATGAATGTTCTTAATATCCCATAAGTGTTCTTCGTAAAGAAGATTTTAATGTCTTCAAATGCCCGACAGTTTAGTTAATTTCTAATTTCTGAACAGTAAACCCCTGACATATTGATGCATTCGGTCACTTAGGAGCCGTGGTGTAGTGAAATGTGGGTGTGTGTATCCGTAGAGTTGTGCCGCGTGGCGAATTTGTTGAAATTAATTTTCAAGTTTTCCGGCGATGGTGAGTGATTCCTTAATATGATGATGGTGTAGTGTAGTTGTATTGAACTCTATAAACAGCTTCGTCAGAAATTGTGAGGACTATTACTCATGTTTGTTCACTGTTTTGTTAAAGTGATAGAGAAGGAAGGAAAATATATATATATATATATATATATATATATATATATATATATATATATATATATATATATATATATATATATATATATATATATATATATATATATAACAGAAAACTCACACCCCAGAAGTGACTCGAACCCATCCGAGTGACTTTACCATCCGGGTGCCGGTGGGGGGGTGGTTCAAATAGCTTCGGCTATCACCTCCTTATGTTCGGTCATGATGGTCAAGTGGATTAAGGCGTCCTGTACATACCAGTTGCGTTGCTCCTGGCAGTATGGGTTCGAGTCACTTCTGGGGTGTGAGTTTTAGGTTGCATATAGTCCTGGGGACAATTCTGGCTTGTTCGCATATATATATATATATATATATATATATATATATATATATATATATATATATATATATATATATATATATATATATATATATATATATATATAAAATCATTGTAATCTCTTCAAAATAAACCAAGTCCCCATTTTCTGCTGCTATTGGGCCGATACGCTGAGAGACAAACAATTCTATTTTTTTATAGAATAAAACCGAAAATTCTCTTAAGTCTTCCATGTTGTTTTTCATTACAATATATGATTAGAAATTATGTTTGCCAAATCCGATTGCATTTCTTTGTTCTCTGTAATTACATATAGATTCTGTAACTCCTGAATTATTGTATAATGTAATATTTACGTCATTAGGCAACATTTTATGTTAGTTGTCAATATTTTGGTTTGCTGGATAATTTTGCTCGCTTGTACTCACGTGTTGATAGTTCCTGATAATTCCCGTATGATAGTTCGTGACACATTTTCACAAAATTTGCCCTTTAAAATTCTTGAAAGTTCTCACTTATACCATTTGTAATATTTATTTTGACACTAACTGTGACTTGACGATAATCAGTTGAACTGAATTGTTCTGCAATGTTTAAGTTAATTACTGTTCATTAGCAGCTGTAATTGTTTTCAGAACATTTGCTTCCCATGTAGGATCATCTATCACTTGGTATATTGTTCTCTACAACATATTACTCTATAAACATTGTCCAGGGCTTGTTGAGAGAGTAACTTGTCCCATTCTAGTGTTGGTAGATTAATAATGACATATTAAGTAATTTCGTTTTCATAATGCATATCTACAAAATGATTAGAGTTTTCTTTTAACTAATACGATTAGTTAAGCTCTGGACAAGCTCTCTGGGTATTTTTGCCCTACATAGTGTAGCATGTCTTGTTCCAGCCATACCCAGTGTAGCATGTGTTGTTCCAGCCATACCCAGTGTAGCATGTGTTGTTCCAGCCATACCCAGTGTAGCATATATTGTTCCAGCCATACCCAGTGTAGCATGTGTTGTTCCAGCCATACCCAGTGTAGCATATGTTGTTCCAGCCATACCCAGTGTAGCATGTGTTGTTCCAGCCATACCCAGTGTAGCATATGTTGTTCCAGCCATACCCAGTGTAGCATGTGTTGTTCCAGCCATACCCAGTGTAGCATATGTTGTTCCAGCCATACCCAGTGTAGCATGTGTTGTTCCAGCCATACCCAGTGTAGCATATGTTGTTCCAGACATACCCAGTGTAGCATGTGTTGTTCCAGCCATACCCAGTGTAGCATATGTTGTTCCAGCCATACCCAGTGTAGCATATATTGTTCCAGCCATACCCAGTGTAGCATGTGTTGTTCCAGCCATACCCAGTGTAGCATATGTTGTTCCAGACATACCCAGTGTAGCATGTGTTGTTCCAGCCATACCCAGTGTAGCATGTGTTGTTCCAGACATACCCAGTGTAGCATATGTTGTTCCAGCCATACCCAGTGTAGCATATGTTGTTCCAGCCATACCCAGTGTAGCATATGTTGTTCCAGACATACCCAGTGTAGCATGTGTTGTTCCAGCCATACCCAGTGTAGCATGTGTTGTTCCAGACATACCCAGTGTAGCATATGTTGTTCCAGCCATACCCAGTGTAGCATATGTTGTTCCAGACATACCCAGTGTAGCATGTGTTGTTCCAGCCATACCCAGTGTAGCATATGTTGTTCCAGCCATACCCAGTGTAGCATGTGTTGTTCCAGCCATACCCAGTTCACCCAGATCATTGGTGTTCCAGACTAATATCGAAAATGCACTTTTCTATATTATTAAAGAGACTACAAATGTTGTTTCCATGTTCGCTGTGACTTTTCATTACAAGTTAACTCCAGTTTACCTGGAATTACTGACAGGTAATCATCGAGGACGCTGAAGCTGTTCAATATATGATTAGCTAAAGTTTAAATGCAATATGGTCTCTCCAGTTGATGAATTTGTTAACTTTTGCTTGGGATAAATATTGGCATCTTTTGGAACATATCTTGTTTTATTTGGAATATATCTTGCTTTACTTGGAATATATCTTGCTTTACTTGGTATATATCTTGCTTTACTTGGAATATATCTTGCTTTACTTGGTATATATCTTGCTTTATTTGGAATATATCTTGCTTTACTTGGAATATATCTTGCTTTACTTGGAATATGTCTTGCTTTACTTGGAATATATCTTGCTTTACTTGGTATATATCTTGCTTTATTTGGAATATATCTTGCTTTACTTGAAATATATCTTGCTTTACTTGGGATATATCTTGCTTTACTTGGAATATATCTTGCTTTACTTGGAATATATCTTGCTTTACTTGGGATATATCTTGCTTTACTTGGGATATATCTTGCTTTACTTGGAATATATCTTGCTTTACTTGGAATATATCTTGCTTTACTTGGAATATATCTTGCTTTACTTGGAATATATCTTGCTTTACTTGGAATATATCTTGCTTTACTTGGAATATATCTTGCTTTACTTGGAATATATCTTGCTTTACTTGGGATATATCTTGCTTTACTTGGGATATATCTTGCTTTACTTGGAATATATCTTGCTTTACTTGGAATATATCTTGCTTTACTTGGAATATATCTTGCTTTACTTGGAATATATCTTGCTTTGTTTGGCAAGTAAGAGTCTCAACTATATGCTCTTTTATTAACTTATTTGGGAAAGGCTTCTGATTCTCGCTCTGTTTGGCTCCTGTTGTTGCTGTTACCTCTTCCTCTGTTTCGCTCCTGTTGTCTCAGTGTTTGTTCTCTTTGTCCCAATGTTTTTTTTATGTTTTAATGTTTTCTGAGGTACGCCACTAGACGAGTCCCGGAACTAACAGGTAGGAGCTACGAGGAAAGGTTACGGAGCTGAACCTCACGTACCTGCAAGAAAGAAGAGTAAAAGGAGACATGATAACCACCTACAAAATTCTCAGAGGAATTGACAGGGTGGACAAAGATAAACTATTTAGTACGGGTGGGACACGAACAAGGGGACACAGGTGGAGACTGAGTACAAAAATGAGCCACAAAGACATTAGAAAGAACTCTTTCTGTGTCAGAGTTGTTAACAGGTGGAATGCATTAGGCAGTAATGTGGTGGAGGCTGACTCCATACACAGTTTCAAATGTAGATATGATAGAGCCCAGTAGGCTCAGGAACCTGTACACCTGTTGATTGACGGTTGAGACTCGGGACCAAAGAGCCAAATTTGAACCCTCGCAATCACAACTAGGTGAGATCACCGAAGATACAAAGTATATATGTGGAATGTTGCTTGCAACACTTGCAGACGTGTAGCATGATGCTTGCAACCTCTGAAGGAGTCACACATGCGAGTACACAAACCACAATTCTTGTTTGTGTTGTGAAGTGGCCAAGTCCCCGAGGTCATCAGCACCACACTACAGTGCAACACTGCACGGTGGGGAACACAGTGACCACCACACTACAGTGCAACACTGCACGGTGGGGAACACAGTGACCACCACACTACAGTGCAACACTGCACGGTGGGGATCACAGTGACCACCACACTACAGTGCAACACTGCACGGTGGGGAACACAGTGACTGCCAAGCCCCCGGGGTCATCAGCACCACACTACAGTGCAACACTGCACGGTGGGGAACACAGTGACTGCCAAGCCCCCGGGGTCATCAGCACCACACTACAGTGCAGACGACTGCTGACTCCTGTTAGCAGGCTGAGAGCTTTCCCTTCCCATAGCTCATGGTAAGCCTTACCCTACTAGTTTTACACAGGAGGGTACAGGAGCAGACGACTGCTGACTCCTGTTAGCTGGCTGAGAGCTTTCCCTTCCCATAGCTCATGGTAAGCCTTACCCTACTAGTTTTACACACAGGTGGGTACAGGAGCAGACGACTGCTGACTCCTGTTAGCTGGCTGAGAGCTTTCCCTTCCCATAGCTCATGGTAAGCCTTACCCTACTAGTTTTACACACAGGAGGGTACAGGAGCAGACGACTGCTGACTCCTGTTAGCAGGCTGAGAGCTTTCCCTTCCCATAGCTCATGGTAAGCCTTACCCTACTAGTTTTACACACAGGTGGGTACAGGAGCAGACGACTGCTGACTCCTGTTAGCAGGCTGAGAGCTTTCCCTTCCCATAGCTCATGGTAAGCCTTACCCTACTAGTTTTACACACAGGTGGGTACAGGAGCAGACGACTGCTGACTCCTGTTAGCAGGCTGAGAGCTTTCCCTTCCCATAGCTCATGGTAAGCCTTACCCTACTAGTTTTACACACAGGTGGGTACAGGAGCAGACGACTGCTGACTCCTGTTAGCAGGCTGAGAGCTTTCCCTTCCCATAGCTCATGGTAAGCCTTACCCTACTAGTTTTACACACAGGTGGGTACAGGAGCAGACGACTGCTGACTCCTGTTAGCAGGCTGAGAGCTTTCCCTTCCCATAGCTCATGGTAAGCCTTACCCTACTAGTTTTACACACAGGTGGGTACAGGAGCAGACGACTGCTGACTCCTGTTAGCAGGCTGAGAGCTTTCCCTTCCCATAGCTCATGGTAAGCCTTACCCTACTAGTTTTACACACAGGTGGGTACAGGAGCAGACGACTGCTGACTCCTGTTAGCAGGCTGAGAGCTTTCCCTTCCCATAGCTCATGGTAAGCCTTACCCTACTAGTTTTACACACAGGTGGGTACAGGAGCAGACGACTGCTGACTCCTGTTAGCAGGCTGAGAGCTTTCCCTTCCCATAGCTCATGGTAAGCCTTACCCTACTAGTTTTACACACAGGTGGGTACAGGAGCAGACGACTGCTGACTCCTGTTAGCAGGCTGAGAGCTTTCCCTTCCCATAGCTCATGGTAAGCCTTACCCTACTAGTTTTACACACAGGTGGGTACAGGAGCAGACGACTGCTGACTCCTGTTAGCAGGCTGAGAGCTTTCCCTTCCCATAGCTCATGGTAAGCCTTACCCTACTAGTTTTACACACAGGTGGGTACAGGAGCAGACGACTGCTGACTCCTGTTAGCAGGCTGAGAGCTTTCCCTTCCCATAGCTCATGGTAAGCCTTACCCTACTAGTTTTACACACAGGTGGGTACAGGAGCAGACGACTGCTGACTCCTGTTAGCTGGCTGAGAGCTTTCCCTTCCCATAGCTCATGGTAAGCCTTACCCTACTAGTTTTACACACAGGTGGGTACAGGAGCAGACGACTGCTGACTCCTGTTAGCTGGCTGAGAGCTTTCCCTTCCCATAGCTCATGGTAAGCCTTACCCTACTAGTTTTACACACAGGTGGGTACAGGAGCAGACGACTGCTGACTCCTGTTAGCTGGCTGAGAGCTTTCCCTTCCCATAGCTCATGGTAAGCCTTACCCTACTAGTTTTACACACAGGTGGGTACAGGAGCAGACGACTGCTGACTCCTGTTAGCAGGCTGAGAGCTTTCCCTTCCCATAGCTCATGGTAAGCCTTACCCTACTAGTTTTACACACAGGTGGGTACAGGAGCAGACGACTGCTGACTCCTGTTAGCAGGCTGAGAGCTTTCCCTTCCCATAGCTCATGGTAAGCCTTACCCTACTAGTTTTACACACAGGTGGGTACAGGAGCAGACGACTGCTGACTCCTGTTAGCTGGCTGAGAGCTTTCCCTTCCCATAGCTCATGGTAAGCCTTACCCTACTAGTTTTACACACAGGTGGGTACAGGAGCAGACGACTGCTGACTCCTGTTAGCTGGCTGAGAGCTTTCCCTTCCCATAGCTCATGGTAAGCCTTACCCTACTAGTTTTACACACAGGTGGGTACAGGAGCAGACGACTGCTGACTCCTGTTAGCTGGCTGAGAGCTTTCCCTTCCCATAGCTCATGGTAAGCCTTACCCTACTAGTTTTACACACAGGTGGGTACAGGAGCAGACGACTGCTGACTCCTGTTAGCAGGCTGAGAGCTTTCCCTTCCCATAGCTCATGGTAAGCCTTACCCTACTAGTTTTACACACAGGTGGGTACAGGAGCAGACGACTGCTGACTCCTGTTAGCAGGCTGAGAGCTTTCCCTTCCCATAGCTCATGGTAAGCCTTACCCTACTAGTTTTACACACAGGTGGGTACAGGAGCAGACGACTGCTGACTCCTGTTAGCTGGCTGAGAGCTTTCCCTTCCCATAGCTCATGGTAAGCCTTACCCTACTAGTTTTACACACAGGTGGGTACAGGAGCAGACGACTGCTGACTCCTGTTAGCAGGCTGAGAGCTTTCCCTTCCCATAGCTCATGGTAAGCCTTACCCTACTAGTTTTACACACAGGTGGGTACAGGAGCAGACGACTGCTGACTCCTGTTAGCAGGCTGAGAGCTTTCCCTTCCCATAGCTCATGGTAAGCCTTACCCTACTAGTTTTACACACAGGTGGGTACAGGAGCAGACGACTGCTGACTCCTGTTAGCTGGCTGAGAGCTTTCCCTTCCCATAGCTCATGGTAAGCCTTACCCTACTAGTTTTACACACAGGTGGGTACAGGAGCAGACGACTGCTGACTCCTGTTAGCAGGCTGAGAGCTTTCCCTTCCCATAGCTCATGGTAAGCCTTACCCTACTAGTTTTACACACAGGTGGGTACAGGAGCAGACGACTGCTGACTCCTGTTAGCTGGCTGAGAGCTTTCCCTTCCCATAGCTCATGGTAAGCCTTACCCTACTAGTTTTACACACAGGTGGGTACAGGAGCAGACGACTGCTGACTCCTGTTAGCTGGCTGAGAGCTTTCCCTTCCCATAGCTCATGGTAAGCCTTACCCTACTAGTTTTACACACAGGTGGGTACAGGAGCAGACGACTGCTGACTCCTGTTAGCTGGCTGAGAGCTTTCCCTTCCCATAGCTCATGGTAAGCCTTACCCTACTAGTTTTACACACAGGTGGGTACAGGAGCAGACGACTGCTGACTCCTGTTAGCAGGCTGAGAGCTTTCCCTTCCCATAGCTCATGGTAAGCCTTACCCTACTAGTTTTACACACAGGTGGGTACAGGAGCAGACGACTGCTGACTCCTGTTAGCAGGCTGAGAGCTTTCCCTTCCCATAGCTCATGGTAAGCCTTACCCTACTAGTTTTACACACAGGTGGGTACAGGAGCAGACGACTGCTGACTCCTGTTAGCTGGCTGAGAGCTTTCCCTTCCCATAGCTCATGGTAAGCCTTACCCTACTAGTTTTACACACAGGTGGGTACAGGAGCAGACGACTGCTGACTCCTGTTAGCAGGCTGAGAGCTTTCCCTTCCCATAGCTCATGGTAAGCCTTACCCTACTAGTTTTACACACAGGTGGGTACAGGAGCAGACGACTGCTGACTCCTGTTAGCTGGCTGAGAGCTTTCCCTTCCCATAGCTCATGGTAAGCCTTACCCTACTAGTTTTACACACAGGTGGGTACAGGAGCAGACGACTGCTGACTCCTGTTAGCTGGCTGAGAGCTTTCCCTTCCCATAGCTCATGGTAAGCCTTACCCTACTAGTTTTACACACAGGTGGGTACAGGAGCAGACGACTGCTGACTCCTGTTAGCTGGCTGAGAGCTTTCCCTTCCCATAGCTCATGGTAAGCCTTACCCTACTAGTTTTACACACAGGTGGGTACAGGAGCAGACGAC